GTAAAAAATACAATATCTACCCTAAAAAGCTTCAGCGACAATGCCCAGAAAATGGGCAAGAATATAATTACGCCTGTTAAGGAATATTGATGTTTAGTGGGACCTCTTTTTCGATTTCTTTTCATCTTCTTCTGAAGAGCTCGAGCCTGTCCGCTTTCTGAAAGTTAAAAAACTCATTTCCTGTTTCATTTCACGTTAAGATAAAAAGCTTATTCTTTGCTTTTCAATTATTGAAAATTATAACATAATCAGGTCATGACCATTTTAACAAGGATCATCTAAAAATAAAGATAAAACTAAATCCAATTGATATTAATAAAATTTAAGAGCATATTATTTTGTTTAATTGACAAAAGGTGAAAATTTATAGTATGCAATCTTTTTTAGTTTTAGTTTAAGAGGATATATGCAAAAGAAAACATATTGGATTCCTCATAATTTACCGATAAAATTTTATTAACAAAAGAATTTTTGAAAATTTAGTTCTTTATTATTTCATGAACCTCTGCCAAAAAGTTTCAAAATACTGATCCAAATACAATTAAAAATTGAATAAAAACAAATCATGCAGTTAATAAAAAATAAATAAAATATTGCTGAATTAATGGTCAAAACCTGATTTTTCTATTGTTTAAAGATTTAAGGACATGCGATTAATGCATCATAATCAAACCATTTTTAAGCTTAATAATACTGCCTTAGGTAATGAATAATAACAATAATGAATTATGATGTTGAAAGATCTAACTATAAGGTAAAGCAATGTTTCTTAACATGCCTCAGAGACAAACAATAAATTTTCAAACTCCAATGACCTTTCTGTGTTAAAAATATATGAATTTAAATGCAATAAAGATTTTTTTTTTTTTTTAAACATGCAATGAATAAACCAATTCCATACAAATTTAACAAATAGAAAATACTTCTTATCAGGCAAAATATATAAATATTATAATTATGAACACGGCACACAAAAATAAATTGAAAGAGAAAGATAGATATAAACAAAGAATATGAATTTTGAGGCCATTTAGACAAAGGATATTTGGATTATAGCTACAGCTAGTGTTGATTTGAATCCAGCCTGAGGGCATTGATTATTATTTAATGACAGATTCATGATCTGTAGGTGGCAAAAATCTCAATCTTTTTATTGTGGCTGGATTAGGTTGGTAGATTGTAGAAATCATCCTTCCACTTTTAGTTTCAGTAAATGACAACCCAACAAACAAAGTACATAAATATATTTTAAAGACAGTCACTTTCAGCGTATTTCAGTCAAGAACGCTTATTCTTTACGACAAAAACTAAAACTGTGCCTCAATATCTTATGAAGAGATAAGGTCTACTGAGGATTATATTTGGCATGTAAAGGTGGATATAGATCAGCCATGTGCAGTTCCTAAAAATATTATGATTTTTTTTTTTAGACCTAGCAGCTATTTTTTATTTTAAGTAGCTAGTCATTTGTCTTAATGAGATTGTTTCAAATCTAGACATGCATGCAAAATTTCTCAGTTACCTAACTAAAAAAACCCGTGCCTCAATACTTTTAAGTCATTTTTGAAGAATGATTAATGAATAAGTAAAAATCCTTAAAAAGAATAAAACAAGTCAGAATATCAGACAAAATAAATAAATAAATGAATGGAAAAAAAGATTATTTTAAGGTAAATATAATTATTTTAATTAAATAAAATTAATCTAGAAAATTTAGAGAAAGAAAAAAAAAATTTGATCATTTTCAGGTATTTCTATATTTGAAGACTTGACATCAACAATGGGATAAACAAAAAAAAATTGAGTTGGACTAAACAATGCAATAACTTTTATTTAACAATGCCATTCACAACCTAAAAATTTGGCTTAGTGGCACAATCATTATTACTGATGGTTGTGGCCATTAGTCCACTTTTTGGGTTGTTCTTAATAACATTTAATTTACTTATTTGGATCTAATTCTTTTGATTGGCACTGTGCCTGTTAGTGATTTTTCATTTATAGCTAGATATAAATGATAATTAAATTTTAAAAGTAATTTTTAAGATAAGATTTCACTCGCTGATAATTAATTCTAGAAGTTATGTTATGATAAATCCAATTTTTATTTAACTGTTTTATGATGTAAGGTAGTAATAATAATACCACCTAAAAAATTGTTTTATTTCATTCTTCTAGGAGATAAAAAATTACTTTTGTCTAATCATGTATACTAATGCATTTCATAAATAATTTATGTTCTCTCTATTTTCCATTCATAATGTGTTTTATGCTCCAATTACATGAATGCTTTTTGAAAGTAAAGATAGTGGGCACTCAGTTTAAAACTACACTACAACAAAAAAGACCATAAACAAATTAATGCAGGACGATAAGGATGGTTACTTTTAGTTGTCAGGGAAATAACAAATGAACGAACGCATGGTTATGTTTATTCAAAAGATCTATGTCAATTTCTATTTTTTTGTATATTTATGACATGAACCATATATAAAAATGTTACGTTTATACTGATAAATGTTATAGAAAATAATGGATGATATCTTTATAAAACACTTTGACATAAATAAATAAATCTCTTATAATGGGGGTTGCTTTATAATAAATTGACCAAGCATAATGATGATAGTCATAAAAAATATCACATTTTAAGTATTTTTAGGCATATAAAATACACAAAAGAATACAATGCCATCCCCATCTGATTACTATCCATTATAGTTTAAAAATTTTAATTAATACACTGACGATTCAAAAATACTTTTTGAAACATAATTAAAAAACAATCTTATTTTAAGATAAGTCCAGTCTATTATTGACTACTATTTCAATTGTATTAAACACGGGTTTTAGTTAGTTATTATCAATTCAATCCCTGAACAATACACAATTAATATTTGTTTATCAATCTTCTATAAAAATAGAAGAGTCAAATGCTACATTTAAGAGCCACAAAATTTAACACTTTACAAAGTAAACATCAATTTTCATTCAATATTTGTGAGCAATAAACAATTCTTGCTATAACTAGGTATAGCTTAGTAACCTAAAGTTTACTTAAAGCTACAATCACTATAATAAATTACTTAAAGAAATAAAAAGAAAGAAAAAAAAAAAAACCAAGTAAAGTGCCTTTTCTGATTTGATAATGAAAACAATTTTTAAAAAGGCACGCTGTCATTTTTGAAAAAAAAAACAACTTAAAGTTTACTTATTAAGAATTTAGAGACTTTAAAAAGTTGAAAAAAAATAAATAAAAAATCCATTTATCTAATAGAAAGAAAACCTAATTTCGATGAAATGAGGGGAATGTAAAAAATAAACTAAAAAAAAAATATTGATCACAGAAGTTTGTTATAAAAATATTTATATAAATCTGTCCAATGCTATTATATAGAAAACAACCTAATATATAAAAAATATACTTAATAACAGAATTGCTAATGGAATTGGAGTAAAAAATTAAATTAAAAATTAATATTTATATTTTTGAAATAAATTTTCACAATTTTCGAGAGATAATTAAAAAAGGACGGCTTTTGTGATAATACTAAGACACCGGAAATATGACTTTAATGTTCTCAATTCCATGGAAATAAATAAAAAAAAAATCAATTATAGTAGAACAGTAAAGTTTTACACACACTATCCAATTAAATCATATAAAATACTCTTGAAAAAAAAAAAAAAAGTAAATATTAAATGATGGACAGACTCCATATAACAACAAATAGGTCATTTCAAACTTTTAATAAGCTCGATTTCAGTTCCATTCTCAAGATGTCCAACCTTCACATACAAATAGCAAACTGTTAGTCACCGACAGGAAAAAAAAAAAAGAAGTGTGATAATATGAATGAACAATTATTATGGCACATATTAATAAATAAACTTGCACAAATATAAACGATTAAATATAATTCATTGTTGATGAATCCATTTGCAAAAATTAAATACAAACATAATAAAACAGTTTGAAAACAAAGGAAGACAAATTTCAATTAATTCATGACTTTTATCAATAAATAAATAAATAAATGACATAATGATCAAAGAGCAATGACAAAGCTTAAGAAAATTTAGAAATAAAAATTTATAATAGAATTTTTACTTTATAACCAATTAATAAATTATGACCAAAATTTTCATTAAAAAAATGCTATTAAGGAGCCAATGTTCAGAATTTTTAAAATAATAATAATGATGATATACTTATAAAGATACAACCTTGAGATCGGAAGTTTCCTAGGAATCATAAACATCGAAATCATGAATTAATAACTTTCTGTTCTCACGCTCATAAAAACCATCTCTTTTAACTCATACTTCTGGGCAAGAGTAAAGCAAAATAATAATGATAATGGCATATGACAAAAATTAAAATGTAAGTGATATAAAGATGCTATTTAAAGTTTCGTTATGAACCATGAAAAAAAAGAAAAAAAGAAAAGGAAATTAAAATAAATGTATCATTATCAAAGTAACTCATGATTAATTTAATTTTGAAAACAAATACACTAAATTTTATTAAATGACTGGTGATAATCATAAGCAGAAAAAAAAAAAAAATCTTTTTGGAAATAACATCTCTCAAAATTCAAAATTAGTAATGACCTTAAAACTTTTCATTACAAAATCAATGTCTGTATATTGTATAATATTACTATAAATAATATCACAAACTTTCGAATAATGCTCATGTACACTCAGCTAATCGTAATACAATTTAGGTACCATAAATAAAATTAATATGTTAAATCGGATAGATTTTTGTATTCTGAACGTTAAATTAATTGTAATCTTATTCAAATTTAGATATTCTTAAGATTTATTACAGTTAAAAGAGGAACCAACAATTACTCGTTTTGCTTCGTTAGAATAGAATAATTCTAAATTTTGGTATTTATCCAAAAATAAATAATTGTTCATTCTTCACCACAGTGAAAGTTAGACAATTTTTTATTTATATTATTTTTTTTTGTTTATGAAATGGACTGATAGTACCAATTAAATTAATAATTTAAATGCAAGCTCGGATTTAACAAATTTTTTAAATTAACAATCAATAAATAAATTTATATTAAAATTGAGACGACTCAAAAAGATCTCAGCCATTGATTGAAGAAACAGAAAACAAACAAGAGAAAACAGTGGAAAGAGATGGTATACTATTAGAATAAAACATATTAAGCTAAATAATTTAAACTAAAACAATAATACGGGGATTAACTGGGGAGGCTTAATAATATATACATAATTCAATAAGGGAGGAGGATATGGATGCCTCACGGCCTAGTAGTATATATATAAAGAGCAATGGCAGTGCCTCCAATGAGGATAGCCCCGAGACCAAGACTTAATGGCTGTAACAGAGACCTCTTAACTCTGCGCCACTTCTCAAATTTTTCCTGCTTTCTCTTCATCTCAGCGACCGTCTCTGCTGTCTTCTTCTGTGAATCATTCCTCTTCCTCTCTCTAACCCCTTCTGACCTGTATATAATTACAAAAATAACAATAATAACTAATAAACAACAACCTCAAAATATCTTATAATATGTAATAGAAATAAAAAAAAAAAAATTCATAACTGATTAATTTTGGTCAGGATTTGTACTGAAAAAAAAAAAACTTCTTGTTTGATATCAATATTTATAAGAACCACATTAAAGTTCATGTAAACATTAGTCCGATTTTTGACAGAAAAGTAGGAAATTCAAGTTTCGTGTTTTTTTAAAAAAGAAAGTCAGGTTTTTTGTTGAATAGGAAGTGATAACTAAAGAAATATTTAATTTAAGAAATTTTAAATTACTTCACTGTAAAGTAGACAAAATTGACTTAAAACTAAAATGTTTATATTACTTTGTTGTAGCCCTTGAGGCCAGCTATCACTCCTAATTAATATTTCCCTCTACTTACGGAACACCTTGTATATCTAAGGGATTCAAATTTATTCCATTTTTTAAAAAATAAATTCCTCAAATAGCAATATATCTAATGTATGATAAGAGTTTCCGTTCCTTCATTTATATTCTAAGAAAGTCCAGAATTTTATAACTTCTAAAAGAGTGTAAAAAAAGCAGATTATCACAAAAAGTGTAAAAATTGATTACTTTTGCAATACAACACTGCAAATGCATTAAAACTAACTACTCAGAAATGGTGATTATTTCAAATACTAAGTGCTCCATAATGGAGAAATAGTTTGTTATACAATAGTCCCTTAATAAAACAAAGAGGACGAGGGACCAGATCTTCCAGTTTGTGTTAAAATGAAATATGGCTAATATTTTTGCCATAAAAATTTTGAAATGTGGAATCAGAAAGATGTAAGCACTAAACCAAAGAAATTGACATTTAATAACAACGATTCGAACGATAGTTATTTCATACCATACGGGGTTTGAAGCGAAAAAAGATACATTTAAAAATCAATTGAGTATTAAACAAAAGAACTATAGCTTACAAACTCTTTTTCTGTAAAAATCTCAATTTATACATTTTGAGAGTTTTAAGTCTTTCTTCTTTGATGGTAAAGGGGTTTGTTATCTCCCTGTTTTAATGATGGTTGATACGATAAGAAAAAAACAAACTAAAACACTGATGTAAGCAATATTAATTGTTATAATAACTACTATCAGACATTTGTTGAATGAACAAAAAACCTCACAAAGTACTAAAAATCAGAAAATTGTAATTTGTAAATTTGTCCCAGAATAAAATTAATTTTTCAACTATTTTTATTTTCAATATCACACCACTATTTACTTCAATTAAAATTTCACATTTGGTTTTTGGATCAATAGACCTGTTTTTAAAAAAATATGTTTTGAGTGAGAAACCCTCGATAAAATTCAATAGAATTTTTTTTCAAGAGAACTCTATAATGTAAAGTGTGTAGTTGAAACAAAATACGAAGGAAGTACTAGAGATCAAGAGAAGCTATCGATGATTGTTCTTTAAATATTCATAGCTAGGCTAGATTTAAGTTAAACGAGTTGCTACATGTAACATGAACTAAACAGAAAAAATACAACAAATATAAATATGAACATCGTTCGATCAAGCAATAATAAATGATAATGTCACTTTTGAGGGCTCCCAAACACTTAATTTTTTAAGGAGTTGGATCTCTGTGCCAACATTCAAATATGTTAATGGATAATGAGTATGAGTGGAGGGTTCGGGGGGCGGGGTGGCCGAATGGGCTAAAGCATGGAGGTTCTAGTTCAATCGGTACCTTCTCCCCTATACCTATTCCTATTTGGTACCTCTCCTAATTCCGGAAATGGTGAGGTAAGAGGTAACAAAAAAAAAAAAAAAAGTACAAGAGGACAGTTAATTCTGAAGATATTTGGCCAATCATAGAAAACAGGAGATTTCAACATGCAAATGCAACTTAGCATGATTCAAGTAATAGCGATAGTTAGAGTATCTATAATTTTAATTTTAGAAATTATTCAAATTTAAAAACATATCCTGACAGTCAATATTTTTATTTTAAGCTTACAAACCACAGCAATTTTTTATTTTAATTTTAGAAATAGCAATTTATGAAAATCAATATAAGAGTACACTCTATGATTAGCCAGTTTAACTTAAAACTTGAAAGCTTGTGTAATCATATTTCTAATTTATACAGAATCGTACAAATACCTATGTCACCCAATAAAACAAATATATTGACCTACTCTTGTTAAGTATAAATGTGCTTAACTAACTCAGGTTTTTCAAATTTAAGTATAAGAATATATCATTTTTTTGAGGAATACTCCTAGTATCCAGTTCACATTATTTAAAAAATAAAATTACTTAAAAGAATAAACTTATTTTATCTAATATCAGAGATCGAATACAGTATTATGTGAAATAAAACAAATATACACCTGAAATTTTAAAAAAATCTGAAAACAATGATAGTATTTTTTATTTTAAAATAAATTCGTAATATTAAGGGGAAAAATAATTAAAAAAAGGATAATTATCAATAGAACTCACATTCCAAGAATTTATAGCCAAGAGCAAAGTGGCAAAATAGCTTTCATTATTTGCCAAAAGGAGAGAACAAATATACATGTAAAGGTGGTACTACAATCAATGTGGAAATACCAACTAAAACTTGAGGGATTTGCAGCTGAGGGATCTTGAGGCAGATATAAAACTAGGCACTCCCACTTTAATAAGACCTGGACTAGGAAAACTTGGCAGACTAGTGTACCAATAATTGTATCAATGAATACTAAAGTTCATCATTTAAGGGTATCAAAATAGATTTTTAATGTCATTAATAGATTAAAGAAAACTTACGCATCGGGTTCATAAGACACTTGATGATTAACTGGTTCAGAGGGAAGAGGACGGTCTGGAGGCCTTGAAGAATTCAGAGATTCGCCTCTGGGGGGTGGTAAAGGCGGTGGTTCTTCATCTGATTCTGAGCTACTTATTCTCTGTGTATTTTGATTTTCATCATCTTCAATAACGTCATTCTAAAATATTGTAATTAAATATAATAATATTACTTCATCAATAAACTATAATAATAAATAAATAAGATCAAAATACTAATTACATCATTCGGAGAATCCCAATCAATTCTGTTAATACCCTCAATGATGGCAAGATAAGAAAATCTCAGTTGATCAGGAGTTTGTATGAGGCCCATTCGGTATTTCCTCATTTCCATCAGCAGGTCCCGAACATTGACACTATTATTACCATTTTTCTTCATCTAAAAATGAAATGATATAAAAATAACAATAATCTTAAAATTTTAAAACATGAGCGATAAAATCTAATGATCTCCTAATGACTTTATTTCTGATCTTTATTGTAATCAAATCAGTACAAGAGAATAGACGAGACTTTGATAATAATTGGTCATTCTTTAAACAAGCTTTGAGGTATAATTCAAGTTTAACACTAGAATGACAGAAACATAAAAAAGTCAACTCATTTTGACACTCTAGAGTGTGGTACACCTTAAAATCGAAATTATCATAAAATTTAATTGTCGTGCTCTGGAAGACTCAAATACTTTTCAGAAATAAGCTTAAAAAAACGAAAAAATAAATAAATTCAAGGTAACTTTAGAGAATATATTTTATATCTAAAAATCGGAAAGACAGCCTCCTTTTTATTCTTGCTGTTAACACACATGATACATTTGATCAAACGTTACAGTACCATCTTTATTTAATATGCTCCATGCATCTTTTCATCATCTTCTAGCTCCCGTAACAATTTATAGATTTCTTCAGGAGAAGAATACATTTTTTTGGTAGTTTCCATACATTACTATCTGAATTGAAAATAACACTAATTAACAAATATAACATTAGAAACCCACACCTGAATTATTCGAAGTTTCAAAATAACTAAGAAAATACTGGGGTGTGGGAAATCCCATAATGACTTTCGATAACTTCCAATAATGATATAAGCCCGACAATTGAGTGCTAATGACTATAATTAACCAGGATATGTTTGATATTTATTTACATGAAAAAAGAGCGACTTACATAAAAGTAAGTTAATATTGAAAATGATGTAGAGTATTTCACACACTTGAGTATCGTTCTAGGGTTAATATAGAGCATAAATAAAATATTATAAAAACATAAGAAGTTAATTAATTATATTTAGTTTAGTTATGGGATAAATAAAAGTTTTTTTGTTAGGCTTTGAATGAAAGTGGTCCAAAATTATATATATAAGTGAAATATAATATAATATATAATAATGTATATAAATTATATACATTATTAGTGAAAAAAATGCTTAAAATAAGTGTTAACTTTTTTTTTTCACGACTCATTTCAAGATAGGATTCTAGTGATAATGGCTGAAAATCCCTAAAATGCTGATCAGGAGAATACTCTAATTCAATCCACGATTAGTTTTAATATAAATTATAAGGTAATAATAAATTCAATTACCAGCAAGGAGGAAATCAGTTGAGCCGAAAATTATCCATTAGTATAAAATTTATGAAAGATAAAAAGAATAATAATTCGTCCATTTCAACATTCGAAGGAAAAAATCGAGAACAAAGAGCACTGACTACTAACAATTCCTTGTTTAAAACTAAATGATATTTTAGTCGCTTGATTAATGATTGTTTGATATAAGTGATTAGCAGTAATAAATAAACAATCATATCAGGGTCCCACCTACTCTGATACCACCTCTTATAATGAAAATGCTAATCTGGTTGCTCACTAACATAACCCAAAGATTGTCTAAAAATAGATCAAAATGATAATTGAAAAACAAAATCCTTAGTCTCTTAATAAATATTAAGTTTTTTTACAATACTTTTCAGTGCGTGACAGTATGTAGACAATGAATGGTGGAAATGCTAAATTATGTATTTATTATTATATAATTTTAGTAATATTCATTTTAAAAATTCTTAACACATTTAGTGTGGAATCAGTTCCAATAATGGTCCACATTACTTTAAGCCCCAAATAATAAGTTTAAAGACAGCACAATCTATAATTTATGACTAGATTACCCTTATATCTCACGAAATTTCTAAAACTCTTTGTAACGAATAAAAAAAAAAAAAAAAAACCTGTACCACTACAACCCATGAAGGGTCTGGGGTTCAGTACTATTTAGGGAAAGCACTGTTTCTAGGTCAATGGTTGTGCAAGGAGGTGATTTGACCGAGATCACGCTCAACCGCCAGGTTTTCCCCCTTAATTAATTATTTATTAAGGGTACCCACTTTATAGAGGCTGGGTGTGCCCCAGGAGGGACTCCTGACCCAAGGTCGCCCCACGGCCAATGAAACAGATAAATAAATTTTCTGCCCTGGGCCGGGGTTTGAACTCGGGACCTTTTATATTGGAAGCTCAGTGCCCTACCACTGAGCTAACCCGTTCCCTATATATATATGTATATATTTTAAGTAAATCTCTTATTCCTGCAAATAAATAAATAATTATTATGATTATTTTAAAGTACATATAGATGAAATTAAACATTAATTATGGAGCCAGAATACAGAAATAAATAATTTTAATTAAAAAATGTTTAATATATTTATGAAATTGTTATTAAGTAACTTTTAATTTAGCTTTTAGTTAAAATTGATTTAGAATTATAGAGAATTTACATTTAATATGAAAGATATGAACTGGCACATTTTGCTTTCTCAGTACCAAAGGTAGGAAAGCATTGTATTCGTGCGAGAGGTTAAAAAAAATTGTATGCCCAGAATCGAAAATTTCCACTCGCGTTTTATGTTTCAGATATCAAGGATCAATTTTGGTTCGGTTTCTGCCTGTCTGTCTGTAGTGAAGTCGACATAACAGGCATATCATCTATTACCATTTATCTGATTTTCATGAAATTTTCAGAGATAGTGCAGGCGGGCTGGTGCCTAGATGGTCACATATCAATTTTTTCAAATTCCATTCAACACTTCCGCTTATGCATGCGCAAATGTATTTTTTTAGATATGCCAATATTTCAGAAACTACTCGTTTGATTTGGCTTAAAATTAAATAAAAGGTAGGTATTGGTGAAAAAATAATGTAGTGTCAGTTTTATTGAATTCTGTCCACTACTTTCTCTTATATATGAGCAAACGTGTTTTTCTTGATATATCTATAAAACAGTGTGTTCAATTTGGCTCATATTTGGAGAGAAGGTAGGGATTGGCAAACAGATAATCAAGTATGTATGAATTTCATCAAATTCTACCCTCTACTCTAAAAAAACAGACTTCCACTTTCAGATAAGGAAATGTATTATTTGACACGGTTATAGTTTGAAAATTGTGTTCAATTTGACTCAAAATTAGAGGAAATTTAGAGAATGGTACAGAAATTACCAAGTATCAACTTCATTGAATTCCATTTAATAATTAAAATTAATATAAATAATTGTTAACAATATAATGAGTTGACTAATTAAAGTGTTATTGCATATCAATTAAAATTTCTCAGAAACTAAAAATCGGGCCTGCATACTGTAAGCAAGGAAAGTGTTCAGCATTTTATATTCTCTGTAATGTGCTATTATTTAAAATTGTATTTTAACGCGACGCCGTTTTAGGGAGGTGAAAAGCCAAAAAATAGTGCCGAACACCAAATAATAATGAGTTTTATGGAAGATAAGGATTAAAATATGTCAGAAAATAAAAATTAGATCTGCATACTGTAAGTGACGGAAATTTTCAGCATTTCATCCTTAATTAATGAGCTTTCATTATATTATTAATTTCGCCTTGTTGATGTTTTCATTTCTATCGTGTGGTCTAAAGAACACACCTTAGTTTTTTATTTTAAATGAATTATAAATATTGCTTTATAAATATCTTTCTTACAATTTCAAATAAAAAGATAACACAGGTCTTAAAAAATGCTTGTAGTCTAAATACTCATGTCTCTAATATCCTTATAAACATTAAAAATCTTATATGGATATGAAAATAAACTTTAGACAAATATCACTTTACAATACTTAAATTAACATAATCAACATAAGAACAGCTCACCAACACGAGTGACGTATCAACAAGGCAAAAAGTACCGGAACGTCCTATACCAGCAGAGCAATGGACAACTGGTGGTCCAACATCTGGTGAAAGAGCTCCACTCCGCCTCACTGCACACAGGAACCTTAGGAAAGCAGTAGGGCTTTGGGGAACTCCAAAATCGGGCCATGTCGTATAATGGAATTGAAGGATCTCTCTTTGCTCACCACTATCAATTTCCTTCAATCTATTAATAATAAAAAGTTACATTATAAAGTACTCTAAGAACAATGAAAATATTAATGGCTTCTATCTAAAATTTCGTGAGTCCTTAGGAAAGTGAGTTGGATTAACAAGATTTTAGAAGGAAGCCATCAATATAAATTAATTTAACAATCATGTTACATGTAAATATAACAATAGAAATAACTGGTATGGTGTTCAGGCATCACAGAACTTTCACTTGCCACTCTACTTTGAGTAGAAATAGGTGCTTTCAATTATAGGTAGTGAAGGTCAACATTTTAGATATTAGAGTATATTTTTATAATATAAATACATATATAAACATTTTAGAGTATATTCACTATAAACAATTAATTATCCTGTTTTTCCAATCCATCTAATCAGTTAAATGTATGTATTGTTCATTAATGTTGATTATCTTAAACAACTTTAAATTTAATATATTAATTTTTTGAAATCCTTAGCTTTCCAACATTTGAAAGTAAATCGATAGCAAAATTTTTATTTCTAAAAATTTGTTTTGAATCAGAAAATATATATATATATATTTTTTTTATAGTTATTCAGGAAATTCTCCCATAGTTTAAATTTATTTATTTTTCATTGCTTATTACAATGAGAAAAAAATATTTTAAAACATTAAACCAACAATAGAATTAAACATACCTTAGATAAAATCATTATGAAAACTTATTTCTACTAAAGCCTTATTAAGAAGTACCAATGATGTGTTATGTTTGTGACCTTTTTCAGGAACCTCGAGCTGGCTTGATGCCTTTGTTGGTCCTAGTTCTGAGCTTATCACTTTCCTATTTCTCCTTCAGTTAATTATTCAATTCTTAAATAGTTTATATTAATTCATTATTTAATATTAACAATTTGAGACAGTTAATTATTTCAAGGAAACAAAATTAAAGGTTCTTTAATTTATGGGTGATAAATATTTAGGACAGTCAATATAAGGTTTTTATTAGTGCCGACGTTTCAACCCAAACATGCGGGTCACCATCAGGGCGTGGTTCGAGTACTGAAGATATCTTCAGTGCTCGAACCACACTCTGATGATGACCCACATGTTTGGGTTGAAAAGTCGGCACTAATAAAAACCTTATATTGACTGTCCTAAATATTTATCCCCCATTATATGTAGAACAGTCGACTAACTTCCTTCAGTAGTTCTTTAATTTACTTTAGAGGATGAAATTTTGAACAATAAGAATTAAGGTCTCCAGACTATTTAAAAGAAATTAATACTTATTATTTGATATTAAAGGCTTTTTGATTTTACATTGATAAAATGAGTTTAATTAAGATCATTAGAACCATTTTTGAGGAAATCATAAAAATATGTAAAATAAAATTTATAAACAAAGCTGATTCTGGCAAGTTGATTTTAGCGAAGAAGTTGCTCTAACATCCCAGGCACACACACACACTATCTTAAATATGTCACAACAGTTTTGTACCATTTTTCATTTTTTAACTAGGCTGTTCTGGGACGCATGCATACCTCAGCAAACACACACAAATACATATACAGACCATTTTGCAAGACTTGGTTCATAGGACTCAGGGGTCTACAAAACATGTATCTCTATTGACAACTTGGATTTAAATTTTTTCATTAATACATTCTTTTATAGGTCAGGGATAGTAGGCAGATTTAAGTCTCCGAAAGCTGAAAATAGTTTCAATTTCTTCACATGCATATAAAAAATCTGGTGTGTAGCGCGCATCAGACAACTTTTACTTACCACCCACTTATTAGCACTTTGAGTACTTAGAAATAAGTACTTTGAGACAAAAGGGAAGTGAAAGTAAAAATTATAAATGCTATATTGATTTATATTTCATTGTGGGTATTTTTATTTGTATATGTAGCCATATATATATATATATATATATATATATATATAATATATAATATATACAAATTTTAATATTTATATCGCTGTAATATATACAATTAAATATAAAATAAAACCAACAATTGCATTTATGAAAACCGCATATGTAATATTCAAATAATACTGCCAGAGTCCTTATTATATTAAGTAGTGCTGGCCTTAAGCATTCAGCATCCCCCGGACAATGAAGTTATCTCCTTCCTTCCCTCTAAAAAAATTAAATTTATTTCTTAAGCTGTTTCATATTACATAATATTTGAATTTTATTTCATTTATTGATAGGCTAAAATTAATTATTTTAATACATTTTGGATTTTTTTTTTTTAAATTTGTAACAAGTGGCAAGCGCCCCTGAAGATTGGTCGGCGCCGCAGGGCAATTGCCCCTGTTGCCCCACCCAAAGGCAGCCACTGATATTAAGTTTATGTTACATATGGAAACGTGTTCTAATCTTTTGGGCGAGCTCATATTCCTATGATTCCTAAATTACAACTATTACGTTACAATCTCTTATTTCTCCTTTAGTTAATTATAAAATTCTTTAAAATTTCACTATCTTTTATATTAAAGATTAATGTCAAATGATCAATTGCTTCAAATAAAAAAAAATTAAAGGTACTTTAGGGGAAGCTAATATTGAAAATTATTTCTAATATTAAAATAATTAAGTAAACTTGGAAATACAACAAATAACCATTTAAGCCCTGTTCAGAATAAAACCTGTTCAATCAGAATAAAACCTACATTTTATTTAAAACTGCTTAATTTTACACTGATGTAATGAATTTAATCAAAATCGTTAGAGCCGTTTTCGAGAAAATTGTAAAAATGTGTTTAGTCCATGATATAAAGTGCCACTTCTGTTTTTAAAATATATGAGCAATGAACTTATAAATAATAAACGAACTTCTACAATCTTGTATTGTATAAACACTAATTTATTATTTGTGTAAGTAAAATCTATATTATATGCATTTGAAGTAATGTGATATCTATAAGGTATGAGCATTTTAAAAAAAGGTTTTAATAAAAAGGAATATAGATAAATAAATAAAGTGGGAAGAGAAGCTTTTTTGTTGTTGGTATGACAACACACAGCCTAAGGGATGTGATAATTAAAACAGCTGATAAAAACATATGATGAGGACATTAACCATCACTTAAGTCATAGAAAGTCATGCTGAATCTATAATACAATGAAGACCTAGCTTTATCCATTTCTGTTAAGGTCCAGGCCCTGAACAAACTTCAAAATGAACAAAATATTTCCATTTATAAAAATTAACTTATTCCAGCATTTAGGTAATTTAATTTACTTTAATCTTTTTAATAGCATAACATTATTATGAAGAAAAACTATCTTGTCTACTGGACCAATTTCAATATTTAATACTTATTATTATTTAAAAAAAAAAGTAATTTGTACTACCTTACTGTTTAATTGTTTCACAGATTACTGCTCTTTTAATTTGTTAATCATTTACATAGTGTGTGGAATATACTTTGTTGTCTTATTTCGTAACCATAATTCTAAAATTCACTAATTAAATACAAAGTATTCAGGAGGTTTTGGAATTAGGAGTCTTGTATTATAATGTTTTTGAAAATTAAATTAATAATTTTAGAGAGCAATTTTAAAAAAAATTGTTGTACCTAGTTAAAGTTTGTTTCCATATTTTTGTTCACATATACACATTATGTTATAAATAATAATGAAAATTTTATCAACATATTTATTGTTTATATATTAGTTACATATGCGAGTCCTCCTTAAGGCTGATCAGCCACCGAAAGCGGAGTGGAGTCAGCAACCGATTGCGTAGTAGACCCCAGCTCAGTCAGCAACTTGGCTTGTATCGGCATCCTTCTCATATTCTGTATAACATTTTTAAAAAATAGCAAATTTGGTCATGTCTGAGTTGAAAGGAAAAACTGAATATTTGTGTATAAAACCCGAATATTTTCCCTCACACATTCGATTAACAATTCTTCTACATCCATTTTATACTGAACCAAAATAAAATAATTTGAGAGGTTATGCAATGAGAACAAGCGGAAAGAAAGGATGACACTGAGGAACAAAGCCACACAGTTGTGAATAGGTGTGGTGGGGGAAGCTGAGCACAGCTTTAAAACCAAACCTTGGTCAAGTCAAAGCTGAGCGAAGCTGTTGAACTGCACACAGCGCACCTGGTGACCGGCTGTTCATTAAAAACCTTTTCTACGGTTATGGAAGCTGACTCAACTACGCTCAACTCTGCTTTCGGTGACCAGCCAGCCTAACTGTTGTTGGATCCTTTCAGAAGATTTCCAAAATGATCCGTGTTCCGAGCTACTCCATCGATCTGTCAGAATTATACTATACCTAATTATACTTATACCTATTCCTCATATACTATAAATCCTTTCAAGGATTTTCCTAGTAATCTGATTCAACATCATTTTAGCCAAACTAACCTTATTACTCATCAAAGAGGTCCAAAATTTGACATCCCTTACAACATATAGGAGCTTACCAAATGCAGTTATTTTAGCATGGGTATCCTCAAAGTTCCAATAGGGCTAAGTGGGCCATGAATGTTCCTTAGTATTCATCTTACATACATTAAAAGAAGAGCATATGTAAGATATAATGTCCATTATTCAGAGACATGAATATGCACTTGTCCTATCAATGCCATATATATTTTTACTTCAGTGGTCCGAGAAACCACCTAGCCCTTTAAATGACCTTTTTAACCGAAAATAACATTTATTGCAAACATGATTGCCTGTTGGATCTTAACTTGTATCTTGTTAATAGAGTTTATATTTCAACAAAATTAAACAATCTCGTTCATTTTTTCAGATGAAAAAATTAAACAATCTCGTTCATTTTTTCAGATGAAAAAAACTATAAAACACAATTACAGGACTTGCATGCATGTATTTCATTTTCGCCTAATTTACTTTCAGAGCAACTCAAAAAGCTGTTAAATGAAGAGATTTTTTAAATCATTAGAGGGTCTCCAATAATGTCTATATCATATATAAATAATGATCTGCTGACATGTTTCATGACTTTTCTTACAGCACTTTTTAGAGTCAAATTGAA